TCGTTTCCTTTCATGGAGATAAACAGTCGTATTTTTTATGTTAGATATAGCCATAGACTTAAAGCTTTATAGGTCTAGGGTAAAGTTTCAGAAATGAACACCAAATCATAAGGCTGCTTGATTGTACTTCAAATGCATTCGATTAACAAGGATACTCCTTCCAAAACCTAATTCTGTTTTGCATAAAAAATGCCAAGGGGTCATTTATTCTACGGGATCATTTTTCTACAACACACACGGAGAAAAACGATCCCAATGCTATGATTTGTACAAAAAAATTGGTCATTTTTCTACATAGAAAATCCGGTCACACCCGCCGTGTGCTCCTTGTCACGATCTGGAAATAACGGAAAAAATCTTTCGTCAATTCAGTGTATAAATAATGTACTAACAATAGTATGAAAAACGTAAGTCAGCATTTGACTCAATGATAAAAGGACATTGTTTCGACCATAGAACTTACGAAATGATGACTTTAAGGAGGAATGCAACACCAAAATTTTATTTTTGAGATCTCCAAATCATCCCTTTTAAACAATGGTTTCAGCATTTATTATTAGAGATATTAGCTCTGAATTATTTATATGATTTTTTTTTATTTTTGTCTTTTTTTTCAGGTGCTTTACAATTTAACATTTGCAGTAAATAAATTCATGATATGTCTTATAAAACATGTAAAGAAACGCATGCTCTACTTATGAACAATTTCTTTAAACGAGGTAAATTATTGACAAACAAGTTGATGAAATAAATATATAAGCAGTCTCTTTTAAAGTCATCATTTCGTAAGTTCTATGGTCGATACGATGACCTTGTCAGCAAATACAACTTATCATCGAGTCAAATGCTGACTGATGTTTTTCATACTAATTGTTTGTGCATTTTTTATACGCAGAACTGACGAGATTTTTTTCGTTGTTTCCCGATCATGACAGGGAGCATAAGGCGGATGAGAACGGCATGCCCACTCCTCCATTGCACCTGATCCCACTTCTGATGTTTCGGAGGTCCGTGTTTGCTCTGCTCCTATTTTGTATTCTTTTAAGGACTTTTGATCTTGAATACTGTTCATTATCTCCATTTATTTTATTATAATATCATAAATAACTATGGCATTTCACACAAAAACATAAATAAAACATATTTTATCTGGAAATTATTGAAAAATTTTATGTGTTTTGATGAAAAATATTAAAATTACAATCCAGAAAATTCAGAGTAGACATTAGAGAGTGCTCGCCGGTAAAGCTAATCCGCGCTCTGTTTTGTTTGCAGAGTTTAACAAATTGAAGACACTCGGTGAAACGTAAACTGATTTTGCAAACAAGACACAGGATCTGCTTTTCTTAATGTTTAAGTTTCATCGGGTGTGTTCGATTTGATAAAGTCACCACACATCATTGCGCACGGACTAACAATACTGGTGAGTTTGTTTTGATTTCTCGCACTTGAATTTTCCTGATAATAGTTTTTATATTTTTCATTAATACAGAACAAAATTTGCACGTTCACAAAGTTAAATTTATCCTTATTACTTAAATACGGATAATTTTAACTTTGTGAACGTGCAAGGATGTGGCAATCTAACGTCCCAAAAAAGTTTTAGTTTCAATAACTTCCAGACAAAATAATTTTTTTTTACATTATATTTCCGTGTTAAATATTATAGTACCAAAAAATCATTAGATTATACTGAACATTTGAGAAAATATTAACTTCAAACTAGCTGCAGAGCTGTAGCGTAATGGTTTTATATATTAGTCTTGACCATCCCGCAATGCAAAAACTAGGCAATTTACGGCGCAAGATTTTTTGCGCACTGTTTAGGAGAATTTCTTCACTATTCAACTTAAGTAAATCATCTACCTTTTACCACTCATTCCAGACACATTCTTAAACCAATTTGTATATATTATCCTAATCTCAACCCTTTATATATCGCCTCTACAGGCTATAAACTGGATTGAATTGAATTGTCAGATGGAATGCTGAAAATTCTAAGTCAAGCGGAAGGTCTATAAAATATACAGATTGATTAAAAATTGCATCTAGAATTATGGAGGGAAATGTAGATAATTTACCAAAGTTGGAAAGTAGAAAAATTCTCCCTAATAGTGCGCAAAACATCTAGCGCCGTAAATTGCACATTTTTGGCATTACGGGATCTGTAGCTCTATGGTCAAAGACTACATGTAATATATAAAACCATAACGCTACAGTTCTGCAGCTAACTTCAAACCTGAGTTTAATAAGCTTTTAAATCCAGGAACAGAGAAAAGAATCTTATTTTCAAAGACTAAATGCATTTCATAATGTAATCGATACCGTTCTTACATCAAAACCCCTGACCCAGGAGCCATGTAATTCAAAACTATGAAAGAATCAGCCTTTTTCATTATACTTATGTATTTAGTTATATTGTTTAATACCCATGAGAAGAGAAGAGGATTTTCAGAAATATTACACTTTCATTATACATGTATGATCTATGCGAATGCAGATAGACGCCGAACACTTCTCAATGACAAGAGGCCCATGGGCCACATCGCTCACCTGAGCAATGTGGCTAGGAAAAAGCAGAATTGGTTTATACTTAAAAAGCTTAAATCCAAAACTAGTCCCAAGACCAATCATGGCTTTGCTATTCTTGAAAAGATTTTTAAAGAATTTTCCTATACATTTCTATGTAAAACTTTGGTCGGCCATTTTGGCCCCGCCCTACCCCTGGGGGTCATTATTTGAACAAACTAGAATCTACACTACCTGAGGATGCTTTCATATAAATATGATCAATTATGGCTTTGTTGTTCTTGAGGAGAAGATTTTTAAAGAAATTTCCAATATATTTCTATGTAAAATTTTGGTCGGCCATTTTGGCCCCGCCCTACCCCCGGGGGTCATGATTTGAACAAACTCGAATCTACACTACCTGAGGATGTTTCCCCATAAGTTTCATCTTTCCTGGCACAGTGGTTCTTGAGAAGAGGATTTTTAAAACATGCCACCAAATTTTCTTTAATTCCCAATTATCTCCCCTTGAATGAGGGCGTGGCCCTTCATTTGAACAAACTGGAATTCCCTTTACCCAAGGATACTTTGTGGCAAGTTTGTTTGAAATTGGCCCAGCGGTTCTTGAGAAGAAGTCGAAAATGTGAAAAGTTTACAGACAGACGGACAGACAGACAGACCGACAGACGGACGCCGGACAAAATGTGATCAGAAAAGCTCACTTGAGCCTTCGGCTCAGGTGAGCTAAAACAAGAGGTCCAGGGGCCACATCGCTCACCTGAGCAATTGGCTAGGAAAAAGCACACATCAGATCAGAACTGAAAGTTTAATGAGGGGGGGTGGAGGAGGCTTCTATTTTAACCCCCTAGGGGGTCATGATTTGAACAAAGCTTGAATCCACACTACCTAAGAATGATTCCCTATAAATATCACTAAGCATGGCTTTAAAGTACTAGAAAAGAAGATTTTAAAAGGTTTCCCTGGAAATTCCTATGTAAAACTTTTATCGGCCATTTGGCCCCACCCTACCCCTGGGGGTCATGATTTGAACAAATTTGAATCTACACTACCTGGGGATGATTCCATAAGAGTTTCATCTTTCCTGTCTCAATGGTTCTTGAGAAGAAGATTTTTCCTATATATTCCTAATTTCCTATGTTAAATTTTGATCGGCCATTTTGGCCCCATCCTACCCTTGGGGGTCATGATTTGAACAAACTTGAATCTACACTACCTAAGGATGATTCCACATGAGTTTCATCTTTCCTGGTCCAGTGGTTCTTGAGAAGAAGATTTTTAAAGATTTTTCCTATATATTCCTATGTAAAACTTTGATCGGCCATTTTTGCCCGACCCTACCCCCAGGGGTCATGATTTGAACAAACTTGAATCTACACTACCTGAAGATGATTTCAAATGATCTTCATCTTTCCTGGCTCAGTGGTTCTTGAGAAGAAGATTTTTAAAGATTTTTCCTATATATTCCTATGTAAAACTATGATCGGCCATTTTTGCCCCACCCTACCCCTGGGGGTCATGATTTGAACAAACTTGAATCTACACTACCTGAGGATGATTCCACATGAGTTTCATCTTTTCTGGCCCAGAGGTTCTTGAGAAGAAGATTTTTAAAGATTTTTCCTATATATTCCTATGTAAAACTTTGATCGGCCATTTTGGCCCCACCCTACCCCTGGGGGTCATGATTTGAACAAACTTGAATCTACACTACCTGAGGATGATTTCAAATGATCTTCATCTTTCCTGGCTCAGTGGTTCTTGAGAAGAAGATTTTTCCTATATATTCCTATGTAAAACTTTGATCGGCCATTTTGGCCCCACCCTACCCCTGGGGGTCATGATTTGAACAAACTTGAATCTACACTACCTGAGGATGATTCCACATAAGTTTCATCTTTTCTGGCTCAGTGAAGATTTTTTAAAAATGCCATTATTTTTTCTCTAATTCATAATCATCTCCCCTTGGAAAAGGGCGTGGCCCTTCATTTGAACAAACTTGAATCCCCTTTACCCAAGGATACTTTGTAGCAAGTTTGATTGAAATTGGCCCAGTAGTTCTTGAGAAAAAGATGAAAATGTGAAAAGTTTACGACAACGACAACGACGCCAACGACGACGACGACAACGACAGACAACGGACAAATTTTGATCAGAAAAGCTCACTTGAGCCTTTGGCTCAGGTGAGCTAAAAAGCCACCAAAGTTTTCATTTCACTTTACCATAGCAAAGAGCTCATGGTGGGTGTTGGCACCTTATTTATTTATTTATTTCTTTATTTATTTATTTATTTATTTTTTTTTTTTTGAGGTTCTTGTTTGCTACCTTGCTCATAATTTGTATTGTTTCAAAGGAATTTTGAGCATGAGCACTGTTCAATATCTTATTATATTTCATTCAATAAATCAAATAATAGTTTCACATAGACCTTCAAAGTAGTGCATTTAATTTTGGATATAAATCAACTTAATATCTTACTCCAGTATCATATCCTCCTGATCTTTTGTGAGTGTTTTTCTTTGTGGGTGCCTTGAGTAAACGTCAAATGAAGTGTGTCTCACAACATCCTCAGGGTCATACAATGAAGCTCGAAGCAAACTAGAGGCACTCTATAAAAAGTTATAACGTTTTTCTTTCCTTTCATATTTTTAAAGTAGTATACTATATTGCTGTTTTTTTAATACAATATCTTAAAATTAATAATTAATTTATTATGTTCTCTCAATCTATGCAAAGAAACTATGATTAAAGTAATACAATCTTTACAAATGTTAAAATCATTTATAAATAAAACATGGTTAAATTCTAAAATCATACTTCCTGGCAAGTATAGTGTCTTAGAGCGTGCGATGCCGCTCTTCTCAGGGAAGGCATTCCCTCGTCATGTTTCATATAGGACTGTAAATAGGGCAGTGAATCAGGGTGTGCTGCGTTACCAAGGGCATGAATTAAGGTTCGCTTTATCCTTGCATGATTGTCCTCCCTCTCATATGATCTGTCCAATGAGCGCTTTTCTCGAGGCCGATAAATCTCTTGAAATTCGCCTGTAAAATTATCAGATTTAAGACTCAATGCTGTTTACTAAAACATGCACTTTTTTATAATCAGCACACTACCTGTTTACATGGGATGCTTTCCATGCCAATTGACTTACTCTCATTGTGGTATCGCAGCCAATCTTCAAGTTTCGATGTTATTCTTTTTGCTTCATTCAATCGGCCCTCGTCGCGCAATGCTTTGGCCAGGGCTCCAATAGTTAAACAGGCTCCTTTTTGTATTTCATTCATGACAGTCATTTCTGAAATAATAATCTACATGTAGTTAAAAGATAGTTCTACTTTACATTCCTTATATGAGAACAATCTTTTTAAGCTTTAAGTATTAGATTAATAGGGTTTTATAGTGTTTAACGATTTTATATTGTTTAACGTCTCATTTGAGTATATTTAACGCATATACAGACGTAGTTTAATGTGAAGCTAGGAAATGAAACAATTTCAATGGAAAATATCCTTTTTCGCTCTGTATGACGAAAATATTTCTTTTTATATTGTTGACTCAGAAGTACGTGTTTTCTCAGAAGTGTTAATCCTTATAGGTTCTACGGGATTTTTGTTTGATTTTTGTATAGCTGGTATTTAAATTCGATATTTTAGACAATTATCACAATATGGTGATTAATGCAAAAAATTCCAGATACACAACTATTGACTACAAATCAATTAAACTCAATTTATTATTGCAGCCCGGAGGACCGAGCTGCTCTATACATACAAGTTTAAGTGTTGGTATATGGGGATTGGGGTGGGAGTAGTTATTTAGAATGAAAGGTTTTCTAAACATTGAAAAGAATGTTAATCAGAATGTTCTTTCCGTTTATAAATTACGAGATTCATAATATATTTACTTCCATAAAGTGAATCTGTAAAAATATATATGTTTTTCATATTTAATATATAAAAGTTGCTTATCATTTCGAAAAAAAACGACAGGTCCCTTTTTCTAGAACATCGAATTTTACTTGTCGGATAAAAACGTACTCTGCACAGTTAGTGTTTTATAAATATTCTAAAATTGGAAATTATACATTTTTAAATATAGGTGATGTGTGTGTCTAACTTCAATTTATATTTTATGCAGCCAACATTTACTTGAGGAATTGATCAAGTTTAAAATGGTATCGTTTTTATTGATTTTTATCCGACTTCAAGTTTTCAAAATATTCGTCTCCATCAATTAGACGCATGCCTTTTCACACATATCGAAGCGGTTTGATGATCAATACTCATTTTCTTTGTTTACTTTATATATTTCCTGGGCGACAATTGATGGTTACATCAATGTTTTCTTGTTAATACCGGAACAGCATTACCATTTCACGGCACGCGTTTTCACAATCTATTTATACATTATATCAATGAAAGTAAACCGGCGGAATCCAGGGAATCGCTATACCTGCCTACCGGGATGCCCTCCCTACTAACCTGGCGCTATAGCGCCCCATCAGGGAAAATAACTGTGGTGGGAACAGACCTTTTGGTACCAATTTGCAGCAAGTGACTGTCACACACGAACAGGGAGTTCAAGTTCTGACTCGGGGCCTAACTCTAAATTGTCTCCCCTGGTATAAAACAACTACCAGGAGATAATGTTCCCAGGGAAAGACCCCCAAAGCCTGCCCTTGGTACCACAAGAATCAAGCTGGTCCCTCAGGTACCGCTGAGGTAATCCCCGAATCTTCCCCAGTACGGATAGTTTATCCAGAGTTTTGAGTCACACATGGTATATCATTGCATCCGAAAAGCTTATTGGCTTAAAAATAAATACAAATAGGTTACAGCAATAATACGTACCTTTCACGCTTTCCATGTGTTTCCCAAAGCAAATCCCTTCTATTGTGTCGATAAGTTCCTAATCATATATGATAATGAAGAGTTATACTGAGTATAAATAAAATGCAGTTTGAGTTTTTAAGCAGCAGATATATTCCACTTGATACAATTATATGTACTAGTAGCTAGATGAATAATTTCACTTTTATTCCTCAACTTCGTTATCAATTGACTCAACCTACTAGTAACTTTTGAAACTATTTGTTAAATAAATTAAATCTTGCAAGGTTCCTGAAAACTTGATTTAGACATGTAAAAAAGAATGCTTTTCGGGAATATGTTAGCAAATAAGCATATCGATGTCAGAAATGCATCGTTCTGAAAAGAAAAACCAAAGCTGGAAATTACGGAAGCTTATTAGTGCTACTTGAATATTTAATTTTTTTTGTTTCTACACTTTAATCTGTAAAATTTACACTATAATCTGTAAATTTTACACTTAAAGTATAAAATTTACACTTTAATCTACTAAAATTTACACTTGAAACTGTAAAAAATGTACATTTTAATCTGTGTATAATTTGCTTCAGTGTTTTAAGTATACACACAAGGAGAAAAAATATTGAAACTTGTAATATCAGGATTCGGACCCAAAAAGATGGATTTCATTCCGCACGAACATTAAAATAAAAAAAGGTTTACTTATTTGAATATGACGTGTTGGATATGATCAGTTTCAAAATATTTCAGTTATAACATTTCATTTGACTTTTTACTTTTTGGGTAGCAAGTTCTCTGTGTTTATTATTTTAAAAAATCTTTGCACTGTGTTATAAACGTGAATATCTTTTGCATATGCATTTTATTACATTGAATTTTTTTTTTTAATTGAATTTTTAAGTACCAGTCCGTATAAAAATCATGCAAAAGTGATATTTGAGTGATACACTCAGGTTCTCAGAATTCAATGATTTTCCACACATAGATTTCTCTTGACCTATGATCCATGTATGTAAAATAAAAATGTGTTGGATCATGGTTACTATGGAAACCTGATCAAAGTAATTTCCTTAGCAACCAGCCAATTTTTCTATTTGAAGGCACTGAAAATCACTGATCTTTAAAGCCTGAAATAATATATAAAAACTTTAACAATAATTCTCATTGACTGGTATGGTAAAGACACACACTTTATTTGTTTAAAACACACAGGACATTGATATTTTATCCGAAGCTAGTACTATGGTAGACATTAGAATATATGTATGTTTTTGCATTTTTGCTGAATCAGCATTTTCCTTGATTTTGACAATATTCAAGGTCAATTTAAAAAAAATACCAAGCTAATACAGATTTTGCATGACTTTCACAGAAAAGTAGAGAACTTTCACTTTTATAGATTGACTTTGAAAGCGTGAGTTTTTTGAAAAATCCTATTCGTTGCCTAGCAACAAAATTGGATGTTTTGATAACTAAAAAGTGAAAAATGGTAAAGGGTTGGGTCAAAAATCTGATAAATTTTTATCTTTTTGTGGCATATACAATATTAAAAGTAATAGATAATAACTCTCATACAATTTTAAAATGAAAGAATAATTCATAATCATAAATCTCCATGCCAACAGAAAATTTTCCCTAGCAACAATGCAAAAACAGTTATTTTTTTTTTTTTTTGGCCTTTTTGGTATAGATTTTGATAGATAGAATAGATATTTTTTCTTTAAAATGTAATTGGGCATAAATTTCAATTTAATATGGGTCTGATAAAGTTATTTTGGTACTTTATTAACCCATAGGTACAATTCTGAACACTTAACGACCACTTTTGTATCTACAATTTACTTTTACATTCAGGCATTTTTTTCGCTAAATTTTTAGGGCTGAAATGAGATCTTCCACAAAAGACGTTATAAATGAAAAATAAATAGCTTCAGATACAATATTATTATGTAACAAAACATTTGTATGGATGACAAGATTCCATAATCAAATCATACTTGGGTTGCCATGGCAACTTAATGCATAATGATCAGACAGCAATCTATCTGTGACGAAAATATTTGAAATTTTAGCTTCCATTAATAATTACTAGTAATACCTTTGCTAGCATTGCAATAAGCAAACAGTCAGAAAGCTTTAAAATTCATAATTTAAGAAACTTTATTTTTTTTATGGTTACCATGCATACGCTTTGAAGCTAGTGTTGCTTAGCAACTGCGTAATATAACCAAAGTTTGAAATTTTTAAATGTTTCGGGTTAAAAAAAATTATCATCATTGAGATTAATTCATCATTTAAAAATTCTTATTTAAAAAATTCTACAGCTTTACTTTCTAGAAAAATTTCATTGGTGTATAAATGCTTTTCTGTTAACATTTTGTTTGTTATCTGCCTGTCTGTTTGTCTGTAGACTTTTCACATTTGTAACTTCTTAACAACCATTTCACCATAACTTTCCACAAGAGGAGTTCAAAGTTTAACGTATGAATGTATAGTAAATGTTTTTTTAAGTCTTCTTCTTTTCGAGAACAGCAAAACCATGATTAGGCATAGAAGAATCCTCGGGTTATGGAGATTCAGTGTTATTCAATTCATGTCCCCTGTGGGTAGGGCAGGGCCACAACAGGTAGTTAAAGTATACAATTGGAATATAAAGGAAATACATGTATCTTAAAAAAATCTTCTCAAGAACCGCTAAGCCAAAATTAGACATATAGAAAAGTATCATCAGGTAGTGTAAAATCAAGTTTCTTCAAAACATGACTCCTGGGGTTGGGCACAGACACAACAGGGCCCAAAAATTTTACATAGGAATATCTAAGAAACATCTTATTTCTTCTCTGGAACAGCAAAACCATTATTAGTCATTAATACAGAAGTATCCTTACGTAGTGTAGATTCAATGACACCTGAGGATAGTTCAGGGCCACAACAAGGGGTGAAAGTTTACAAAAGAATATATTGGGAAAAAGTATTTTGAAAATTCTTCCCCTCAAGAACAACAAAACTGTGATTTGTAATATTGAAATGGAAGCATCTTCAGGTAGAGTAAATTCAAGTTTGTCCCCCATAGACATTTCAAACTGATCTGCAAATGTGCTTAAGTGAGTAATGTGGGCCTATTGGCTCCTTTTTCTACAAAATAACGCACTTCTCTCTCCTAAAAATGAAGAAATTAATATGAAATCAAAATGCATATTGAAAATGACAGTACACGAATAGATATCTTGAGTATCGCTTTTCATAATAATCACACAAATGATTAGACGAATTAATTTTATATAATTATCAAATTAAAAAATAATCAAACATATATTTCTATGTTTCCTTTACAAAGGCACAGAGAGTAATGTAGTGCATATTGACCTAATGTAGTTCTCTGGGGTAAAATATTGAAAAAAATACAATTGTGAAATATAAAACCCAACCACAACCTGTTCAAAGGTTATGATCAAGGTTAACGT